ACCCCCGGGGGCCGCCCAGCTCCCCCCCGAGGTGGGGCCGCCGGCGGTAGAGGAGGACGCTGATGCAGATGAAGGCGAAGATGGTGAAGAGGGTGACGGAGAAGGCGAGGGTGCCTGCTGACACCTGGAACTCCTGCCCCTGGGATGCCCAGTAGATGGCCGCCACCGACCACGCCAGCCCGATGCCCAGGAAGACGTTGACGGCGTTACTGCCCGTGACATTGCCGATGGAGGCATCGGCGTACACGTCATGGATGGCTGCGGCTTTGCTGGCAAACGTGTCTGGGGGTGGGGGAACAGGGAAAAAGAAGTCACTGGGGGTCCAACACGAAAATTGGGCAGCTCTTCATGTCTATGGATGAGGGAGGCCACAGTGTGGCACTGGCCAGGTTGAGACACAGACCTCTCCTGGTGCCCACCCCCTCTCTCAGGTTCAGGGGCCCCTGTGTTGCCACCAAGTAGAGTGCGGACCCTGCCTGGGAACAGGGCACTGCGGACCCCTTTTCCAGCCTGACTGCCACTGCCCTGACAGAGCTGCTCCCCTGGGGCCAGGCAAGCTGCCAGAGAACCTCCCTCCCACCCCATCCCCACCCCTTTGTCAGCCCACCTGGTAACGAGGTGCCAAAGGCGACGAAGATGACGGCGGTGACCGAGTCTTTGAGGCCAATGGTGCAGCCGAAGTGGGAGGCGAGGTCACCGATGATGGCGGTGAGCACGCCGATGATGATCATGGAGACCATGAAGCAGGCCCAGCCATTGCAGTACTCCGTGGGGGGCACGCAGGCAAACAGCACCTTCCAGAAGACCGTCAGGAAGTGCATCACGTAGTCGAAGCAGGACGGCAGGCGTTCCTCACCAGACTCATCCTCATCGTCTTCACCTGCTGCAAACAACATGGAAGGAGAGGTCCAGTGCTCATGATGGGATGGGTCAAGATTACAGGGGTGGACTGCAGCCCCTGCTTGGCTCCCTGCCCCAGGACTGTAGGGATGCTACTCTCTGGGGACAAGGCAGCGTGATGCCAGCCACGACAGTGGGCTCAGGGCATACCAGGAGCCTCAGTGGCAGGGCTGAAACTTGAGGACAGGGGTGCCTCCTGGGACATCCTGCAGCCTGCAGGTCTGGGGAGTGGCAGAGCAGTGCATTGTACCCACAGAGGGGCAACCTCACCTCCGTCCCCATTACCATGCCCAGGCTGTCACACAGTATGTAGTCAGCCTGTGGAGATCACTTTTGAGGAGCACCCTGAAGTCACACAAGTGATTTTTTGGGGGGGTAAAAACAGCGCAAGAAGTGATAGAACTAGAGAACTGGAGTGACCTCTTGGTCCTCCTGCACCAGAGCAAGGGCTGGCCACCAGCAGCACCCCAGTAAGAAATGGGGTGTGTGGGTCTCAGCAGCAGCACTGCCACCCCTTGAAGGGGGTTCCCTCCTTAGCCTGGAGGGCCAGGTCAGCCACAAGGCTGGAAGCACTGCTGGTCTTTGTGCAGCAGAATGAAAACAAACTGGTAAAAGGGAAAGCAGGTAGGGACTGCAGAGCAGATGGCATGAGAAGAAGAGAGATGGAGGAAGAAAGGTGCAGGCTTGCTTGCTAAAAGGGTGGAAATACTGTTTCCACAGAAGCATTTTCTCTCAATTGCTATAAAGAAGAAAACTGATAACCCCACACCTCTTATTTCAATCAGAAGAAGCCCCTGTGGCCACTGGTGACAGGTCCTGCTCAGGTGCCCACCTGCTGCCTGCACTATGACTGGGTGGAAAACAGCCCTTTGGGAAAGATTCCAAACCATCAAGGAAAAATTCAGGAAGTTGCCAGAGTGTCATTAACGTCTGCTCCGTGCCTGCCTGGCTCTGGAAGCAGTGAACTCTTTCAGGCTCCCCAGGCAACAGCTGGCAGACCTCCGGGCCTTTCCCTCCACCAGCTGCTGCCTCATGGGGCAACATCTCCTGTCTGCATGTGGTATCCCTCCCTACTTCCAGGGACTCCACTGGCCGTGGCAGACAGGACACCTTCCAGCAGCAGGAGCTACCTGAACAGGACAGCACTGAGCACACCAGGAGCCAGCAGCCCAGCCAGGACAGGATTTTGCTGGCTATACACTGCTCATCAGACCACTGAAGCAGCAGGAGCACCACTAGCAGAAGTAGTGGTGTCCTGGTATGCTGATATATTTGAAAACTGGTATCCTGGGTGGCTCTGCACCAAAAGATGGATCTCCTGGGCTCCCAGCTAATGCGTCTGCAAAAGCTCACTATATTTGGAGCCGAGGACCTCTTTGGACTGGCTTTGCTGATGACCACCATGCATACAACAACTGAGCACCACTGTCCAGGCAGACACTGTCTCCTGAGCCTGGACAGATCTCATCCTATGCTGAGCAAACTCTGGGGATACTGATGTGGGTTTTCTGATGTCCTTCTCACCTGCACTGACGGTAATGGCCTCCAGGAACTGTTCCCTCCAGGAATGTGTCCCTACAACCAAAGCCAGGTTTGTCTTCTTAATCAGCTTGTCCACAGTGCTCTGTTGTGGGAGTAAAGATGCAGAGCAATTAAACAGTCTGACATGACAGGAGTTGGACCCACCTTCTCCCTGGACAGGCTGACCCAAATCTCACCAGAGCCTGCTTCTTTGCCACCCCTGGGCTCCCAGCTAATGCGTCTGCAAAAGCTCACTATATTTGGAGCCGAGGACCTCTTTGGACTGGCTTTGCTGATGACCACCATGCATACAACAACTGAGCACCACTGTCCAGGCAGACACTGTCTCCTGAGCCTGGACAGATCTCATCCTATGCTGAGCAAACTCTGGGGATACTGATGTGGGTTTTCTGATGTCCTTCTCACCTGCACTGACGGTAATGGCCTCCAGGAACTGTTCCCTCCAGGAATGTGTCCCTACAACCAAAGCCAGGTTTGTCTTCTTAATCAGCTTGTCCACAGTGCTCTGTTGTGGGAGTAAAGATGCAGAGCAATTAAACAGTCTGACATGACAGGAGTTGGACCCACCTTCTCCCTGGACAGGCTGACCCAAATCTCACCAGAGCCTGCTTCTTTGCCACCCCATACTCCAGAGGAGGCTCCTTCTTCCCTTGCTCCTGCCTCACCAAAGACAGCTTTGCTTCTGCCCTCTCTCACACACTGGCTGCTGCTTCTGGCAGGGCTCCCTTTTCTTCTTCCCTTCATCTCTTCCTACCAGCAGCTGTGCTCTCTGGAAGTTCTTGTAGGCTCCCCCCATACTTTACTGCATTATATACTCCTTTTCATCTTCCAGCAGCCCTTTCCCTGCATGTGCAGCTACCCCCAGCCTCCTCTGTTCTGCTTTTCATGGCTGCTCTTCAGTGCCATAAAGCTTTCCCCATCTGGAGGACACCTGAGACAACTACTGACCTTGAACTCATAGGACTCCTCAATGATGACTTCTAGTTTGGGATGCTCGCCAAGTATGGGTTTGCCCATCTCTGCAATCCTCTTTGCTTCCTCCTCTTCAACCGTCAGTTTCCTCTCAGCCACCTCTGTGAAAGCAAGGCCACACCAAGCTGTAGACAGCAGCCCTGGAGCACTGGTTCCCTGAAGGGGCTTGTCTGCAGAGCCTGAGCATGGGCTTCTGCAGCCCCTTCACAGCTTGCTAAGCCCACATCACTTTTTGGGAGGCAGTGGTGGGGGGCTGGACCACAGAAACAAAGGCCCAAGATTTCTGAATATCCGCTAGTCACCAAGACCATACTCAAAATGAACAAACAAAATAAACGTTTCTTCAGCCTGTACTGGTGCTTTTGGATGACAACTGCCCTCCCATCATCCCTGCAGCAGCCACATCCTTGGGAAGATGCAGGTACCGTTCATTCTGCCATTTGGCACAAGCATCCTTTAAGACAGGTTTAATGCCCTGGCAAGTTTCCTGGCTTGAATGAACAAGACACAGGATCTTTTTATTCCCCTTAGATTAGAAAATCCCTGTTGGCACCCTGTGCCACTCAGTGTTTGATCTAAGGCTCAGACAGACAAACGCAGTCACAACCACACATGCACACACGCACACACTCCTAGCATTTGGAAAACTGAACAGGAAGAATCAAGTTTGAAGTCAAGTGGGGTTTCACTTTCATGTTACTGGGTGTTTAGTTTCTGCTGGAGGAAACTAAACCAGGATCCCAGGTCAGCAGGTGCCACCACAAGGCAGGAGAGGTGCCCCATGAGACTGCCTGGGAGGTGCAGCATGCTGAGATGACTTTGTGTCAGGCTGACCTTGTTGATGCTCTAGCACACCCAGGGAAGTGCCTGGGGAGGTTCTGGTTGCCTGGACAGCAAGGAGCAAG